ACATAGAAAACAAAGGGAAAAAAATCGAACAAGATCACAAACAGAAGCTGGGTTCACTTTCACCATTTCTACAATTTGCATTGTGTAATTTGAAATGGAAAAATATTAAAGAGAAACATATGAACAAAGAAAAAATGCTTACGAGAACTTTTGAAAAGTATAAACAACATGGTCGATTTTGGGGTTGACAACGGGGAGTCTCTCAAAACACTATTGAAACTGCGATTTTATCATTGCTATACTTCAATGTGGAAGTGCAAAACCCTCGTTCTGTTACCAGAGACTAAACCAGCCTCACATGTTGTTCCTCGCATTTTCTACGACTGAACTACCAAAATAGAGAGAGAGTTCAGATTGCTGTAAATTATATATACATTCGTGCTAAAATCAGTTGTACGTGGAAGATGATTTGCTAAACCCTAATAGAAGCATGAGAAAAGAAGAAGAAGAAGAAGAAGAAGAAGAAGAAGAAGAAGAAGAAGAAGAAGAAGAAGAAGAAGAGGAGGGTTTACTTGCAAGTGGTAATGACAAGTGAATAGGTCGGTATTTATGTTAGCTATAGTCAAGTCAATCGTTGGAATACTCAGCAAACTAAGTGTCTATCTGTTTCTGCTTCTTTCCGGATTTGTAGTGATTTTTTTTACCGTTTTATTCAAATTCATGGGACCCACTATGAAAGAAAGCGACAAAGATTTCGACTGAAATGTGTTGCAACGGTCTCAAAATGAATTGGAAAATCAATACCAAGCAGGCCCTTAGCATAACGTCATGTTTTACTCACTGAACTTTGACTTGACTTTATAAAGTTACACTTCACCACTCACTGACTAACTTCTATTAATTAACATGGCTTACGTGAATAACGATTACATGTGGCTGGTCAAATTAGTTCAGCTCATAAATGAAATGCCACATTATTTTTTCCTAAGTCCAAGCACGCCTTAGCCATAAGAAACTAAAAGTGAGAGATTAAAACCAAAACCAAAACTCTCCAGGCTAATTGCATCTCCCAAATCGGGGGAGCCCTAACCCCCAAACCAAAATTCAATCAATAGCAAAGGTCCCACTTAGGGGTGGGCAAAAAACCGACCGACCTGACGAAACCGACCGAACCGACCCAAACCGGCCGGTTTGGGTTGGGTTTTTGCAATTGTTGGACGGTTTTCGGTTTTCGATTTGGGGTGGTCGGGTCGGGTCGCGGGTTGGTACCCATAACCCGACCCAACCCAACCCGAAAATAAAAAAATAAAGGAAAAAAAAAAAATGACGTTAAAATTGAACAAAAAAAACCCTAAAACTAAAAGAGGCATCCACTCCAGCCTAACTACTAAGCACAAGCAGCCTTCATTCGCTTCTCATTCACTAGTCGCCGACTCGCCTGAGCGCCTC